TAGAATGTTTTTTTGGCAACTCAAAAGATTCATGTGCAAGAAACTGTCCCACATTTTCCAATGAGAATGTAGCATAACATCAGGCCTCTTGTTGTGTTCCAGACAGTGTAACTAAAATATGTAAGTTGACAATTACAGATGTTACTCAGAGTCAAGTCAACATAAAGAAAAGTAAGTAAGTGATATTGTCCTCTAATAGTGATAGGCAGCTAGGATCCTATCCAATTTGGAAACTGTCTTGAAGGATCTCTCAGTTTGTTAAATGACATTCTTCACCTTGGTGTAAATACATGGCTAGTTTCTACAGAAAGCTAAATGCTCTGGCTAATAGTCTCTTATTACTACCTTATTTCTTTAAAAATGAGAATAGGCCCTCCCTGGTGGCGCAGCGGGTTAAAGCACAGCACTGACAAGCTAAAGCCACTTGCACATGAGTTCGATCCCCACCTGCCCCGGAGGTGACCATATGACGTGGCAGACCTCCCCTGACCCCCTGTTCCCCTCAGCAGTGTATTTCGTTGATCTGCCTGTTCTGCTCCCTGCTCTGTGTCTGGTGAATCCTCTCACCCTCCGCATCTCTGGCCTGTACCCCAGTTCTATATGAATAAATAAATCTTTAAAAAAAAATGAGAATAAAGAAAAAAGCCTCTATGAAAACTAAATTAAATCCTTTAAGAACTTTGATGGACTGGGAAAATCTAGAAGAATTTGGACTTGGAATGTTTCCCAGTGCTTACATTTTCCAATCCAATTTAAACAATCCATTAGAAATCACAGACAATGCCTTTAGAATATAATTTATAGAAATAAGATCAGGTGACCCCTGGCCCCCCACTCAAAGACGAGAAACGGATATAAAGAGACCAGCAAATAAGTGTTTTAAGTTAAAAATTTTAAAAAAGATGCACAGACATTTTCAGTCCATGCTATAATCAACTTTTTGAATTACCTAAACACTTATTATAAACACATGGAGGCTAGTCTCTCGGGTATTCTAAGATCACTCCCTCCACCAGTAGACTCCCTTAGGCTCCCTGCCACTTTTCTTCAGCTCTGATTGTTACTAGGAAAGAAACTGTAGTTCGCTAGATTTAACAGCCTGTTCGACCACCATTTCTGTTACCTGCAGTTCTACATTCCTACACAAATATCAGAACTATTGGTCAATCAGTCATAGGAGCCAAACCTTACAAGTGCCACTGAGAAAACAGAATAAGGTGTAGGGATCCTCAGTAGTTCAGAAGTTCAGCTTCCTGAAATAATAAAGCACACCTTTTTGGAAAACACTTGAAGAGCACAAATTTGAAAGACACAAAGGAGACAACCATATAGGACAAAAAGTAATCTAATGTGGGGCAATCACCTTTGTAAAACTCCTGAGGTAGTGGAGCAAAGGATAAGGGAGGAAAGAGAAAATAGGAATGCCTACATTCTGTAAAGTCCTGTAGGCCATTAGGACCTCAGCTTTTACACTGCATACAAGAAGTCAGGGTTTTTGATAAAAGAGATTATTGTTATGACGAAAGACAAAGACAGGTAGGTAGCACAGGAGAAGCAGGAAGACCAGTTAGGAGACTAATTGCAAAATAAGAATGACTTGGACCAGCCCCGGGAGCTGTGGATTGCTAAGAAGTGCTTGGATTCCAGATATATTTTCAAGGCTAAGATAGAGCCAAGAATGCCAAATGTGAAGAGATAACCTTAAAGGCAGGGATGACGCCAACATTTTTTCCTTCTTCAAAAAGCACTGCCATCTAATGTGATGGATGAGGCTATACCTGAGGCAGGTTTAAAAAACAAACATGGTAGTTTAGTTTGAGATGACTACTATCTGGATGAACTCTAAATGGAAATGCCAAATAGTTTGTTTGGTGTACAGGAGTTAAGTCTGGGCTGGAAATATAAATGTGGGAATTATCTGCATATAGGTATTTAAAGCCATGATATTGGATAAGATCATGAGAGGGATATAAAAAGAAAACCAAGGAGTGAGCATTTTAAGAGCAGAGGACAAAATCATACAGAGAAAAAAAGTACAGCATTAGTGAGCAGAGAAACTCAAAATGCAAGTCCAGGAAGGAGGACAGTATAAATAAATAGCATTTAGTGTACAAATTTGTACACTGAAACCAAATTTAACTTAAGATTAAAAATCTCAATGAGCCTGTAGTAAAGATATAAAATACTGAGTTTTTTTTTAAAAAAAAGATTTTTAAAGATTTAAAGAATACTACTATTCTTGGTGTCTCTAAAACTACTCTCAGTACTAAAAATATATTTTGCCTATTTTACCATTTTAACAAAAAACTTCCATTTTTTAAGCCTTAAAGAAGCAAAAAAAAGGTCACCCATTAAACAGCCTCACACATATTTACAAAATTATCATTATTTTGTTTTTATTGGAGCTTAAAGTTAACCAAACTTCTTAGTTAAGGACACTTAGATTTTCTCTTCTGTTACAGAAAAATAGCTCATATTCTTAATTCAATAGTTTCTCTATGATATGCAAATAAACTACATTTTTAAGGTCAGAACACTCAGTCATATTCACAAAAGCTGAAAGATGCCACAAAAATTTACACATGAGAGTGCTCACAAATATAATTTCTAAAAAGAAAAATTACTTCTAGTCTTTACCAAACTACCTTCAAAATAATAAACAGTACCCAGACAAGCAACCTGTTATTCTGAAAACTTGAATGTTCTTATAAAACATAATCTCTCTACATTTCAGATTGTTATGAAACCCAAACCTTCCTGTAATCATTTCATTCATAAAGTTTAAATTTTTTACAACGTATTGCTGAGACCTTCTAGATTAAAACTTACTTTGCTATAAAAAAACTGTAATACACCTGCAAGTTAAAAATATATCCTTCACATCTTTCTGATAAAATTAAAAATTTATCAGCAGTAACAATCTAAACTGAAGTCTTCTAGAAGTTATGCCTCAAAAAAGCCCTTAAAGAAGTCATATTAGCTATTATTTCACATACAAAAATTAAAATGATCTATGTTCATATGAACAGCAAATTAAAGCAAATAACCTTAAAGGAGGCTTGGGGTGAGAGAACCAAAAAAAAACTCGTAATGAAGCAGTAGACAATACTGATAGTAAAGAAGGATATAGAAAAACTAAATTGGAAACTATTATAAGCTAATGACTTCATAAAGCTGAACTTCAGTCATCAAGAAAAGGTTAAAAGGTATCACTCAATCCCTTTATAATTTTAGATGTTTCACATATTTCCGATACCTTTCCACGGAACTTAAACATTTTACATTTTAAGGTTCAGTATGTTTCTCCCAAAGAGTAAAGTGAACACTTTATTCTCTAATTCACCTGATACACTGTAAGGACAACTAGTGCCTTTTTTTCTTTTTAAAGTCAGGTATAACTTAAGTGTTGGGCTACCTGTGGGGAATTGAGTATTTCTTAAAAACTATAAACAATAAAGCCAGATATTTCTTGCTCGATCATTAGGAGGGAAGAGGGGGGAGCCTTGTAAAAGAAAGAAAAAGAAAAGATTAAAAGAAAGAAAAGAAAAATCTAAATAGTAAGGCCATTCAACAACAACAAAAAAAAAAAAAATCCACTTAAAAGAGTGTTCTGGTGTTAGGTGGGGACAATCAGTGGATTCTCATTAGCAATTGCCTAAGCAGAACTGGAGACACAGTTGCCATGTGCCTATCTGGTGAAGCAGGGAAAACCACCGCCTCGCAATTTAGCAAAAACTCGAACTTTAAGCCAATTGCTACACAATTTAGAGTGTTTAGTTCACCCTAAGGCGTTTGACTTCACACGCTACGGGTTTCTAAATTCCTCTAAGCTTTCCACAATCCGTCTCAAAAAACCCCACAACTTTTACAGTTAACTTCAACCGTAGCTCTTTAAGCAGTGTTTACTGAATACCTGGTAAAGAATCTTTTCCTATAATAGGCCCAACTGGAGAATTTGGATGCCTTTAGAAGGAATGGCTAGGATTAAACAGCCCGCTCTTTAATCTAATCAAGGTGCAGAGGACAAGGTTAGGGCGTCGCTTCCTGCGTTTGGGGCTGCGCGTCTCCGGTGCTCACACGCTCCCTCACGATCAACGTGCCATGTTGCACATCCCACAGCAAGTGTTTCACTGCCTTACGACTTTTCTAGACTGGCAGTTTGGTTTTTCGGCCAAGATCCCCAAAGCCAAAAATTTTATTGTTGAAAGCTGAAGGGGGAGGGGAGAAGCACTAAGGAAGACACACCCCTTAGGGAAAGGAAAGGGTAACTTCCCCGTCTCGAAGGCAGTCCACAGATTTTTCCAAACTCTCCCCTTAAGCCGGTATCCCCTTCCCCTCAGCCCCCCACCATAACCAGGTAACAAGCACTCGGCAATGGAAGGAGACACTGGAAAGGGGACTAGTGCCGATTCCCCAAGTATCTGGAGCGAGCGGCCGGGACTAAAATTCCAGCATGGCGTAAGCGTGGCCCAGCTCCGGCCCAGGGGCGCCACCAAGAAGCGCTCCCGCCGTCCTGCGGCCGAGGCGGCGGTAATCCGCTTTCCTTCCCGGGGGCCCTCAGGCCCGGCTAAAAATAGGCGCCCCGGTCACCCCAGGGCCCAGTCCGGCCGACCTCGCCCACGGGAGACGTCCCTCGGGGCGTCCCCAGCCGCGCTGTGAGGCGCCGTAGCAGAGCCAGGGTCGGGCCCTGTGTGGCTAGGCGAGGCCGAGCGGTACCTCAGAGTCCCAGCGCCGCGGCGCCCGAGCCCCGGCAGGAGCCCACCCGC